ATGGTATATATATATATATATATATATATATATATATATATATATGAGGTCATTAAATATTAAAATATGTATATTTTAATATTATAATTAATGGGTATAATGAAAAAAGGCGGCACACTTAAGCTCCTAAAATACAAAAATTTAGTAACACAATCAGACAGGTGATGATTGGAGTTTACTGTTTTCATTATCAATATTATTTTGTGGAGGACCCTGTTTGAAAGTTTTTCCAGTGATGTGCGTGCTTTTCTTTTTATTACATTTTTTAATTTAAATTTTTTTTACTGAACTGGTTAAATGGACATATGTATGGACGTATATGAGGTCACTAAATATTAAAATTGAAATATTTTAATATAATGATTGGCTAAATATATCTATATATATATATATATATATATATATATATATATATAAGGTTACTAAATATTAAATTTAATAATTTATAATGATTGGCTAAATGGGTATATATCTATATATGAGGTCAGTAAATATTAAAATGTGTATTTTTTTGTGATTTTTAAAAAAAATATTTTTTTATTTGAAATAATAACATTACAGAGCTTGAATAACAGTGTAAATACCAAGGAAAGAAAAAAAAACAAGTACAGTGAATAATACTTCAGGGTAACTTAAAAGGAACATGCAAATTACCACACAGAATAATGCATCTTCAATTTAAAATATATTTTATTATAATGTTTGGGTTTTGATTAACCTCTTTAAAATCTCTTTGTAAAGTTCAGTTGACTAAACAATGGGTTGCTACCTAAAACCAGTTCTGGGACAGTGTTTTTTTTTGGGATGTTTTTGTGAGTGTTTTGTGTGAAGTCTCAGGCGTTGTGCTGGTTCTGTCGTGTGTTAGCCGGCGGAGGACGTGAGCGTGGTGGCGTGGAACAGTCAGGTGCAGCACATACTGGCGTCTGCAAACCCCAGCGGGAAAGCCATCGTCTGGGATCTGAGGAAGAACGAGCCCATCATCAAAATCAGTGACCACAGCAACAGGGTGAGAGCATGCACACTAGGGCTGGGTTTTGACACAAATTTCACGATTCGATTCTCATTCACAAGCATTCGATTCGATTACCGTTCGATTCTCATTCACGAACTTGCGATTCGGTTACTGATTCGATTCGATTCAATTCTCATTCACAAGCATTCGATTCGGTTACTGATTCGATTCGATTCTCATTTGCAAGCTTTCGATTCGATTACTGATTCGATTCTCATTCGCAAGCTTTCGATTCGATTACTGATTCGATTCTCATTCGCAAGCTTTTGATTCGATTACTGATTCGATTCTCATTCGCACGCTTTCGATTCGATTACTGATTCTCATTCGCAAGCTTTCGATTACTGATTCGATTTTCATTCGCAAGCTTTCGATTCGATTACCGTTCGATTACTGATTCGATTTTCATTCGCAAGCTTTCGATTCGATTACCGTTCGATTACTGATTCGATTCGATTCTCATTCACAAGCATTCGATTTGATTACGATTCCATTACTGATTCGATTCTCATTCGCAAGCTTTCGATTCGATTACTGATTCGATTCTCATTCGCAAGCTTTCGATTCGATTACTGATTCGATTCTCATTCGCAAGCACAAAACATCTCTCAACTAATGCTGTAAAATATACATGAGAGTCAGTTGGTACTACATTGCTATACTATTAAAGGTTAAAACTGACTGATTTGTTAAAATCAAACTTTATTAAAATAATAAAGTTACAATTACATAATAATATTTCTACTTAAATTCGTTTTTTTATTATATATATAAACAATGGTGGCTGTCATAAAAACTTGATGGATTTATTAAAACATAAATTAAACATTGAAGAACAGTAAAATTTATAATAAATATGTTATGGTGCATATATTTAGCAAAATGCCCCTCCCTACAGTTTATTTTTCTGGCTGATTAATGAGTTTATGGTCACCGAATATGTTTTTCTGAGGTAAATGTGACGTTACGTGTATTGTTTACAAGCCGTTATATTGACATCTTTGCGCGGCTGAAACACTGATTGAGCGATTACATGAGACGGGATACGGATTGTAAAGTTGTACTCTTTCTTTTAACGTACCTTCTGATGTGTAGTCATGTTTATTTTGTGCTATAACTAGTAATAAAGCGGAGGAGATGATCAGTTCACGTCTGTTGAACTGTGGCACTTCAGCAATCACGCCACATTGAACATCGCCAAAACGGCATTTATTGTTTGAATACTGCAATGCAATGGACAGAATTTGAAATCTGAGACTTTTGTTTCATATTAAAAGTACCAAAGCACAGAGCTTATTGCGATATATTGCATGGGAAGTGCCCTTCAACGTTCCGTCCATTAACTGAACACAGGCTAGACTAATCGATTCTTGGGATTTAAGAATCGATATCGTTCCGTAAAAATGAGAATCGATTAATATCGAGATGTGTGTGTGTGTGTGTGTCAGATGCACTGCTCGGGGATGTTGTGGCATCCAGATGTGGCCACTCAGCTGCTTCTGGCATCAGAGGACGACAGACTTCCAGTCATACAGATGTGGGACCTTCGGTTTGCCACCTCGCCTCTCAAAGTCCTGGAGAGCCACACCAGGTAGAGATTCACACGAACCCTGTCAGATTCAACGGATTCATTCTGGTCAGGTCTCCACAAAAACACTCTTCTCAATGTTCCAGAGGGATTCTGTCCATCTCGTGGAGTCAAGCCGATCCGGAGCTTCTTCTGAGCAGCGGCAAAGACAACCGGATCCTGTGCTGGAACCCAAACACCGGAGAGGTGCGTCAGTCACACCTGCCGCTTTTCTACATTTGTCGACACTTCTATCCTAAGTGACTTGTTACGTGTCTCTACTGTGTCTTTTTTATCTGATTAGTTTGAATCTTTTTTTAAAGATTGATTTTCACAGACACCGTATGAACAAACAAAATAAAAACAGATTAGTTTAAAACATAATTTCATTACGGTTACATTTTTTAAATACTTAAAAATTAAATAGTTCTGTTAAAAGGCATGTTGTTTTAAAAAATAATGCATTTTATTAGTTGTTGTTAAATATAATATGTAATGTATTATTATTATTATTAGGGTTAAATGTCTCTACTGTGTCATTTTTGTGTGGTTAATATTTTGAATAAAAAAAATAAACTTTCAACAGATCATAGTTACAGTATTAAGTTAAAGAGATGTTAATTTATACCAAAAATAATAATGCACTTTATTATTAATAATCATATATAATATATAAGAAAATCTACATTTTATTATTGTTATTATTATTATTTTATAGAATCAATAACATCATAAAATATAACAATATTGCATTATTTTAGTACAATTTAACATAGCTATTTATGTAATATTATATATAATGTATTATAAAATCTGCATTTTATTATTATTATTATTAAAATATAGAATAAATAACTAAATAATAATAAATATATATAATAAATGTAGTAATTGTATTATAAAATCTGCATTTTATTATTATTCTTATTAATAT